CGGGAACACCTAATCTCCTCTCATTCAAACAATTAACACAAGGACAATAGAACCTTTCACTATTGTCAACAGCATTTTTCTTAACAAATTCCAAAAATTCTTTCACCCCATTATCATACTCGTCACTCGTTCGTCTAGCATTCATCCAACTACGATCCATATGTCACCTCCTAAAGAATATAACTAATGTTATTATCTTCAAACTATTTTAAAAAACTAAGTTCCTAATTAAATTAAGATTTGAAAAAATTTCGGCAGAATCTCCCCTAAAAATTGAATCTCCTAAGACTTTTAAAAAAAATTTACAAGAGAAAATTGACAATTTTAAACCAAATAAATGATCACATACAACAACCTGAGGCCTTATGAAGCCACTAACAGTACTCCCAGCAATAATCAATATCATTAAAAACTAAATTTAAAAAATTAAAGGAAAGAATAAATTCAAAAAAAATTTTGACAGAGTCTCCCCTAAAAATTGGACTTCTCAAAAGTTTTAGAAAATTTTACATGGAAAAATTAACAATTTTAAACCAAATAAATGAATCACATGCAACAACCTGAGGCTTTATGAAGCCACTAACAGCACTCCCAGCAACAATCAATATCATTAAAAACTAAATTTAAACATTATAAAATTTAAAAATTTATATTCAACACATACCTGGATGGTGGCAGTTGCTGCAACGGCTCAACACTGAGAGGGAGGGAGAAGGAGTGGTGGATGGGGCAAGAGGGAAGGAGAGGGGCAGGGGGGCAGGAGAGTGAAGGGGTGGGCAAGGGGAGAGGGGGAGGGGGAGTGGGCACCTAGGGGGAGGGGAAGGGGCGACCGGACGAACCGAGGGGGAGGGGGAGGGGGAGCGACAGGACGAGGGGGAGGGGGCTGGGCGGACCGAGGGGGAGGGGGAGGGGGAGTGGGCGGCGAGGGGAGGAGGGGGAGGGGGCTCGGCGGACGGGTGGGAAGGCTGGGCGAACGGGGGGGAGGGCGGCCGGCGAGGGAGAAGACGAGGGGGAGGGGGAGTGGGCGGACGAAGGGAAGACGAGAGGGAGGGCACGAGAAGGAGGAGACGAGGGAACTGATGAATGAAGGGAGAAATGAATTTAAAAAACATTTTTTATTTACACCGGGTGCCTGGACACCCGGTGTAAAAAGTGTTACATAATTCAAAATAATTACAAAAATGCCACCGCCTTTATTTTTTACACCGTTTGCCTTTCAACCGATGTAAAAAGTATCCCATAAATTTTATATTTTGTACTAGTGCCATTTAGATTACCCTGACAGAAAGCATGAAACACAGAGCAAAAGGCCAAATGATTGGTGGAGGAGGTGAGATGCTGGCCATACTCTGCTCCTCTTCTCTCCTTTCTTTTCGCCTATGACTTTGAAGAGGAAAATGAGATTGAAAATGGTTCCACCGTGGATGGAATGTTGAATATTGATTATTGATATTAACTCATGGCATGGAGCTGTAATTACGTAAAACAAAGCACATACTTGCTGTTATAATAATCCTAATATTAGCTGTAATTAGTATTGGGCTGCTCAGTTTGCATGTGACTTCCAATCTTCCATGCCATGCTCATACCACTTTGATGGATAATATTAATGAAGCATCAACGATCCTCACTTTCTCCTTCTTCCATCTTTCCCCAGTTTTCATCCCCCGTTACGTTGCTGCTCAATCTTCAAGCATCTCTCTCTCCTGCCATTGAGGCGTTCTTAAAAAATTGGCCTATGGGAACATTTTTTGACTTTTTCCTATCGGTCAGAAAGTTACAGGTAGACTTAAGAAAATAAGCAGACGCGGCCTTAAACCATATTTTTTATTTTTTATTTTTTTTAGGCTTGATTTTTATTTAAAAAGTTCAAAGTTAAACCTATAAGTCTTATTTTTAAAAAATTAAAAAAATTAAAATAAAATTAAGCACTATAAATTAATTAAAATATTATAAAATTTAAAATAAAATTAAAATTCTTATAATCTTTAAAAAATTAAATAACATACATTTAATAAGAAAATTCAAATCTTCATTAAAAAAGTTTATTTTTTATAAATATACAAACATAATAATTATAAAAAGATAAAAAATAATAGAAATTTTATGTTGTACATTGATATTTATTAAATTATATTAAATTAATTTTAAAATAAATTAAAATTAATAAAAATATAACGTATGTAGGATCGGGGCTTCAGGTGAGGTGAGTATGTCCTTCTTAGCTTCAAATGCATGTTCTACTAAAAAAAAAAAAATAATATAACAGGGTTTAAAAGGCCATCCAAACTCGAGTCTTTTTTTACAGGGCTTATTAGAATTAGGCCTTCAAATCTGATCACTTTAAAAAAAATTTAATTTTTAAAATCTGAACCCTTATTTAAACAAAGTTTCCAAGCTTGACTTTTTAAATTTGATCTTTATTTTCAATTCTAACTACGCTTCGGAAAACACTGAAATTGACCATGAACAGTTTCAACAAAACAAACTCATTGAAGGTGCCAAGAAGAGGCAACACATAGATCCTTATAATAACTACAATAATAAAAATATTTAAAAATTAATTTAAATAGACGTCAAATATTATTTTAAATTGAAATAGAGAATTAGGATTGCTCCCAATAGCGAATGCAAACGGCCGAACGCATTGCAAATATTGCCTCCATACCATTTTATTTTGTATTTTTTTTTCTCTTGATTGAAAGTTTAAGGTCCAATTGAGCTTGGCAGCAAAATATTAATATATAAGGTCAAACATTAGTCTCAAATTGGAGACAGAAAGATAAAGGAAAGAAAGGTTATAATAGAATTTAACAAATAAATCTTTTTACAATGGATAACTGACAAAACACTAGATAATTATTCTAATGTTTTTAGGGACTTATTCCCTCCATATAAAATTATAAGATATTTTTAATTAGATTTTATCAATTAATAAAATAGTTATTCATCTTTAAACTAATATCATATTTTTATATTTATCACTATTTAATAGGTTATTTCATTCTAAAATAAATATAAACTAACTTATTCATTAGAAGTACTTTTGAAAAAAGTTAATGATTGTACTTTGAAATATTATAAATACTTTACATTTTTGAGCATTCAATCTCTCAAAAAATACCTTATATTTTTGAATAGAAGAGTAATTGTCATAATTTTTTTTTACAAAATTACATTTATGACTCTATAAAATAATGGAAAGTGTAGTTGTTAAAACTTGAACTAAAATTTATTAATAACAAAGATAAATTTCTTGATATAAGAAACGTAGTTAATATTGCATAACAAAACTAAATTTATGATTAGCTATATTATATTGTTTTTTTCTTTTGGTAGAAGCCATATTATATTGTTAATATACCTAAACTGATGAAGTTGCTAATCACTAAATTAAAATTGTTAATATAAAAAGCGCATTTATTATTATATAACTAAACTAACAACTATGCATTTTATATTGACAATTTTACTTTTGGTTTTAACCACTTCAATTTAGATTTTAACAACTATACTTTTTATTATTTTAATGATAAAAATCTTAATTTGGCTAAAAAAAAATTATGTCACATAAGTCTTAGGGATTTCAAAATAATTGCTCTTGCCACTTCACAGAATTGTATTGGTTATCTGATATGAAATTGAAAACTATAGTTGTGCATATGTTTTGTTTTCTTCTAGTTTGTCCAAATTTATTGATTATTATAAAAAGGATTTTGTATTTTTTTTGGGTAAAAAGAGGATTTTGTCTTTTGAACCAAAAACAAAATTGCAAGGAGATATGCAATTACTTTGAAATTAAATAATTAGAAAAAACGTACCTGTGTTAGTGTATAGTTAATTTAAAAATATCACTTCAATGAATAAGAATAAATAATTTACTTTTATATTAATATCATAATAAATAAACAATTAAAATAAAATTAATTTCATATAATATAGTTATTATCTCGTCCTTAAATTGAAATGGGATGTCACTTGAACTACGAATTAATCGCAAAATTATAAAATAGCAGTTACATGAAAGCACAAAGTTATCCTAAAATTTCATATCTTTAAGTCACAGGATAACTTTAATATAACAAATGATTTAGATTAGATGAATGACTTAAGTACACTCACTTAATAAATATATTAGTTACAGTCATTATATTTCATCTATGCTTGAAAATTATATAGATACATTTCCCTTCAAAAATTTAAAACAATTATTATAATCAAAGCACTCATTAAGTAAGTAAATTTAGGTCACTTATAAATCCAAATCCTTTTTACTCACTATAGGGATAAAATTGCTGTGATAAATAGTTTAAGACACTGGGTGCCTCTTGGAGAATAGTTCCAGAGCAAAATGCATTTCAACTTGGATCTACCTGGCACCACAGGTGGCATTTTTTGCTAGATTTAAGTTCTAATTAGCATTTTTAATTGTCAACAATAGAATATTTAATGTCGGGGAAATATGCAACATCTTAATTACTTTAAAGCTAAAATTGCTGCTAAATTATTTGATACTGGGCATTCTTTGAAGAATAATTGAGAAGCAAAAATGTATATTCGTTCTTTATAAAAAAAAAAAAAAGTTGGAGTAGAATTCAATTTTGTAAAATTTGTGATTATAAAATTCCGAGACTTCGTGAATGGTGATTGTCTGTTGATTATTAAATTTTTAAAGCACAATGCTGGAGAAGATAGCACGCAGGAATTAATATTGAATATTGATATCAACATCTCTCACGGACAAAAGACTTCGGCCAAAGAGACTCACTCATCAGTCATCACATGCCACGTGAGCATGATTTAGCTGCAATTACTTTGAACGAAGCACCTACTATGCCTGTTTTTATAATAATCCTAACATTAGCTGTAATTATTTAGTGTTGGGCTGCTCAGTTTGCATGTGACTCTGGTGCACAGACCATTTTGACTGATAATATTCATATGAAATACCAACGGTCCTCACTTTCTTCTTCCATCTTTCCCCGATTTTCATCCTCCGTTGCTGCTCAGTACCTTGTGCTCACTTTTGCAGGGCAAGCATGGCTGAGATGCTGGTTGGAGCATTACTCACCCCTGCCACTGAAGCCATTCTCAAGAGATTGGCTTCTGGTGACATTCTTGACTTCTTCCGAGTCAAAAAGCTTCAAGATGGCTTCTTGCTGAAAAAATTGGAGATAACTCTTAACAGTCTCAACAAAGTCATGGAAGATGCTGAGGAGAGGCAACACAGAGACCCTTATGTGAATAGGTGGCTTGATGAGCTCAGAGATGCTGTGTTCCAGGCTGAGGATCTGCTGCTTGAGATTGCAACTGAGGCCTCGTGACGGAATCTGCGACTTCAACGTCATCCTACCACAGGTAACCTCCGCAACCACTTCACTTCCATCGTGAACCCATTTGAAAAAGAAATCAAACCAAGGATCTAGGCACTTGTTGAACACCTAGAATGCTTAGCAAAGCAGAGGGATGAGCTGCGGTAGAAGGATGGCTCTGGCACACTCACTCCACGGGGAGTGAATAGGAGAGTTTTCAAGAGATTACCAGAATCGTCTTTGATAGATGAAGCTGATATCTTTGGTAGAGATGCTGATAAAGAGAAACTACTCAAGGTTTTACTGTCGCCCAACAAGGGTGAGAATCGATCCCCAATGGATGTGATTGACATTGCAAGTATGGGTGGAATGGGTAAGACCACTCTTGTGCGGCTTGTTTACGAAGACAAAAGAATCATAGGTGGATTTCACCACAGAGCTTGGGTGTGTATTTCTGAAGAGTTTGATCCTGTTCAAGCAACAAAAGCGATTCTTAAAGCACTTGATTATTCAATTGAACTTGAAAAATCAGATGATTTAGATCCACATCAACGCCAACTACAGGACATGTTGAGGGAGAAGAAATTTTGTGTGGTTCTTGATGATGTATGGAATAAGAATCATGTCATCTGGGAGGCCTTTCGAACTCCTTTGAAGTATGGAGCTCCTGGAAGTAAGAGTCTCGTTACAACACGTGAACAAGAAGTGGCAAAAGTCATCGGGCAAGAGATATTCATTTCTTGGAACCATTACAAGATGAATATCCTTGGAAGTTATTTGCAAAACATGTATTTAGCAACCACTGTATTGATCTGGAACTTGAATCAATTGGTTGAAGAATTGTTAACAAGTGCGGAGGATTGCCTTTGGCCATAAAAACATTGGCAAGCTTGTTGGGCACAAAACTAGCTCCTCAATATTGGGATAAAATTTTGAAGAGTGATATTTGGTCTTTATCAGAGGATGAGAGCAATATAATCCCATCTTTAAGGTTGAGCTATCATTATTTACCTTCTAATCTAAAGCGTTGCTTTGCATTTTGTTCCATCTTTCCAAAAGATTACTTGATAGAGAAGGATGTTCTTATTCAATTGTGCATGGCTGAAAGCTTGTTACATTCCACTCACACAAGTAAGAGCTTTGAAGAAGTCGGCAATGAGATTTTCAATGACCTAGAATCTAGGTCATTTTTTGAACCATCAGAAAAGAATAACAATTGCTTCATGATGCATGATCTTTTGAACGATTTAGCAAAGTCTGTGATGGGAAAGTTTGGTGTGCAAGTAGAGGTTGATCGGGTGCAAGATATTTCAACAGAGGTTCGCTACTTTTCATTTATGGGCAAACAAAACGAAAATTTTGAGAAAGTTTTCAAATGCCACCAATTACGTAGTTTCATCCAAGTGGGTAAAGGTATAAATCATGATACAATATCGAGACTTTCTCATCTTAAGTACATACGTAAGTTATCTTTGAGTGGAAATTGAGGTCTGACATACTTGACAGATGATATTAGCAATTTAAAGTACTTGCATTATCTGGATCTTTCTAAGACCTCAATTCGAGAATTGCCAAATTCAATGTGCTTGTTGGTTAATTTACAAACATTGAAATTAAGAAATTGTTGCTTTTTTGGGTTTCCATCACATTTCTACAAGCTCATCAACTTGCGTCATCTTGACTTGGATGGTTGTACTGGAATCCAAAAGATGCCAAAACATATGGGAAGGTTAAATCATCTCTGGATAATGAATCATTTTTTTGTGGCAAAGAAAGGAGGACCTGGTTTGAAAGAAGTAGGTGCCTTGAACCATTTAATGGGTTCACTAACCATTAATGTGGAGATCATAAATAATCCCACGGGTTTAAGAGAGGCCAATTTGAAAGAAAAGCATCTGGATAAATTAAAGCTGATGTATTATCGTGGAATGCTTGACGCAAGTTGTGAAGAGGTACAACGTCAAGAGCATGTATTAGAAGGGCTTGAGCCAAATAATACTTTAAAAGAGCTCATTGTTGATGGTTACAGAGGTAGGAAATTTCCAAACTGGCTTGTTGGTTCACACTTTCTACCCAATTTAGTGTCTTTATCTTTGTCAAGTTGGGGCAACTACTGTGTGAACTTACCACCACTTGGGCAGCTACCTTTCCTGGAGAAACTTGAGGTTGATGGATTTCGTGGAATAAAAGTGATAGGTGAAGAGTTTGATGGGAATGGCTCCTCCAATGCTCCATTTCATCGCCTTTCTTATTTAAGTTTTAATGGGATGCTAAAATAGGAAGAATGAAATATTTGTGAAGAAGATGAGAGTTTCTCATGCCTTCAAGAGCTTCGTATATGGAATTGTCCGAGACTGAGAAAGTCTCTGCCTCCGCAACTTCCATGTTTAAAAGTTAAACATAATTAGGTGTGGAAATTTGGAGATAACATTTCCGAAGTCCTATTGCATGGAAGCTATATGGTTGATGGAGTGTAAGAAGATTGCAGTCAAAGATGTGGCCACATGGAGGGATTTAATACGGCGAGGAGGCATGCTTTTCACCGACCCAAATCTTCCAATCTTCATACACTTTGCGTCTTGGGTTTTGCATGAGTCTGATTATAAGTCGAAAGAAATTTCATTCAGTGATGATGAGTTTGAAGATGGAGATCAGTTCTTCCCTGAGGAGGGCTTGCTGCCATCCAGCCTTGAATCTCTTTCATTCTCAGGTTGTCGCAACTTGAGAAGATTAAACTATAGTGGTCGTCTCCGCCTCTATTCTCTTACTTCCTAATCTTTTCAAGACTGTCCAAACTTGAGTTTCGAAGGCATTCCAGAGCATGGTTTCCCTTCATTCCTTTCTCATTTATCTATCCAAGATTGTTCGTTGTTGGAGGAGAGGTGTAAAAATCAGACAGCACCAGATTGGCCTAAAATTGCTCGTATCCCTCATGTCTCCTCCATACGCAGAGCTTGACTCTCATTCTGCTCAAAGTTAGTTCATCCTCTTAATTTACTTCTCATACGTATACAATATTAATATTTTTAGTAATTCATAATTTTGTTTTTGTTTTTCAGTTATTATCATTCATCAAAATTATATTATTGCATGCTCACTTTACATATCATGTGGATTCTTCTTTGAGTAGACGTTATACTAAAGCTAAAATCTCGAGTTTCTTTGGAGCAGAACAATATCAATTATTCTGGAAAGTCATGTCTAAATATTTTATATTTTTTAAAAATATCTTCTACGTGTTTTATTGTCCTCATTGAAGTATAAATAAATACAAAGCACTCGTATTTTGCCGAGACATTTCTTAGATGTTGATCTTCAGTTACGCACATGATTAAATCTGTAGTGATTTATGTCAATCAATTTATGGCTATGAATCACAATCTACATTCTGTTGCTCTGTTTGCATCATTGGATTCAGCTTTTATATTTGGCCTGAAAAATCAGATCATATACTCCTTACTAATGTGGTGAACAAATTGAAAATAGGACAAGAGTTATGAATTTAATTTTATATACTTAATGTATCCAATCAAATCAAGATAAATGAATTTTAATGTGTTAATGATATTAATAATAAGAGTTTGTTATGAAATATAATAAGATATAAAGTATTTATAATGTCTTAGATTTAATTAAAATGAAGTACTTTAAGCATATAAGGGTAAGTATATGCTCTCTCTATTAAAAAATATAAGACATTTTTTGATGGGTTGAATATTTAAAAATATAAGGTATTTTTAGTGTTTTAAAGTGTAATTATTTTGCTTTTTTCAAAAGTTTCCATAATAAATAAATTACTTCATATTTATTTTAAAATGACAAACCCTATTAAATAAAATTAAATATGAAAAAATTGTATTAATTTAAAGACAAGTAACTGCTTTATTAGAGGATGAAATTCGATTTCAAATGTCTTACATTTTTATAGCCAAAGGAGTAAGTTTTTTCTACCAAAATAAATATCCTTCAATACTTAATATTTTTAAACATTTCCGACTAACAACTATATTATCACTTCTTCAACACTTGTGGTATTTATTATGGCAATTGCTTCTAGTTTGAAGTTTGAATTTGTTGTCTTCCTAAATTCATACTTTTAATTTTGATTTTTTTTATATTATCTTAGTTTTGTATACACAAGCATGGAGGGGTATTTGTTCTTCTACATTTTCGAAATTTCTATCAAAAGAATTGTGAACTTTAAAAGAAAAATAACTTGTTATAATTTTGTTAGTAATTAAGTCAACAAATAGATACATAAATAATTTTTACTGTATTATTTTATGACCTGATCTACATAGATTTTTTTTCAGGCGATTTCATTATTGTGGGTAAAAATTAGCGGCTGAATTTTGGTTTTGCTTTTTTAGTTATTATCATTCGTCCAAATTATTGTAAAATTATGACCTTCTAATTTTTGGTATAGCAAGATTCCTGAAGCTCCAATCTGCAGTTTCTTAGAGCAGCATATGAACTTACTGATTGTCATGCTTGAAAAGGTCGTACTTCCTCTATATTAAAATTTACTCAGTTGTATATTTTTCCAAGGGTAGATTTCAAAAAGCTCAATGATAGAAATTTCTCAGATGAATGGATGGATTAGAAGTGTAGAGTAAAATAAATCACAGGAGAAATTTGGTGAGCAAGCATTCTCCTTTTATATTGTGTCTTAGCCTAAAATCTGTCTCGCCTTAATGTTCATTAAAATTTCAAGACACGTAAGCAACTTAATTCACCTGTTTACTAACAGGTATAGTAGTTTATGTCTTGATCTATTTTTCAGTGCACATGTCAAAGTTCAGTGAAGGGAAGCTTCAGAGGGCAAATATGATTGGCAGAAGCAATTAAGGAAATAGAATGCAATTCCAAGCTTCTAATAATACTATGGGAGTTGTGAGACTACTTGGATGAATTGGAGACACTGCTATTGAAGACAAACTTCACAATTACATCCCCATTAAAGATAATAGTTTTAGAATGCTAGAGTCTCCCTCTATTTTTTTTTGTTGTTTATTGTTCGTGGTTATTTATCTCTTCAATTTATCTTTACATTGTGTTTGGATGGGTGGATTTTAATTAGGAATTTGAATTTAAAATCTCATATTTAAAATCTCACATTTAAAATTCATGGATTCTAAATTTTTTGTTTGGATGATATAAAAAATTTCAAATTACAATATTTAAATTCTTTGCTTGGATCTAAAGTAAAATTTTAAATTTTAAAATCTATATTTGAATTTAAAAGAAACTTGGAGGATTGGTTGAATTCAATGACTCGAATGGCCAACTTTTAATGGGATCAGACAAACAAAGCTGAATAGGATTGTGGCATCAGTGACGATCAGGATGAGATCTCTGACTTCTACTGGGACCAGACCGTCACAATGATGGGGACGAGACCTTGGTCGACTTCCACAGGACTGGTCCAATAGTGATGACAAGGATCGAACTGAAAGGGACGACAGGGATCAAATGGCTGACTTTCACCTGGATCGGACCGACAGTGATGACGGTGACTGAACAGCTGACTTCTACTAAGATCGGATTGACGATGATGATAAGGATCGAATGACTGACTTCCACTAAGACTAGACTGACGGCGATGATGAAGATTGGACGGCTGACTACCATCGAGACCAGATTGATAGGGATCGAACGGCTCTGGATCGACAGTGATGACGAGGACCGGACGACGGACTTCTACTAAGGCAGGATTGGTGGTGATTAGATAGCTGACTTCTACTTAGACCAGACTGACACTAATAATGGGGACCTAACGGCCCACTTTAACCGAGACTGGATCGACGACAAGAACCGATTGGCCAACTTTCAACAAAATTAGACAGATGTTTCTCGTCATTGTCGTTGGTCTGATCCCGATGGAAGTTGGCTATTTGGTCTCTATCGTAGTCGTCGATCAGGTCCTAGTGGAAGTCAACCATCCAGTCCTTATCTTCCCTCACGATTCGATCCCAGTGGAAGTCAATTGTCCGATCCCTATCAGTAGGTCTTAATAAAAGTCATTCTTTCGATCCCCTTCCATCCGGTCCAGGTGGAAGTCGGGCGTCCGATCCCTATCATCACCGTTGGTCTGGTCCTGGTGGAAGTCGGTCATTCAGTCCCCATTGGTGCTATCAGTCTAGTCCCTATAGAAGTCAGCCATCTGGTTCCTGTTGTCGTTGTCGGTTCGGTCCTTGTAGAAGTCAGTCATTCGGTCCCTATCGTTATCGTCGGTCTGGTTTTAGTGGAAATTGGCCGTCTCGTCCTGCTCAATGGTGGCAGCTTGTTTTTGTCAACTTTGATGGTTCGGTCGAATTACCATTGGCAAGTCAATCAAGCCTTTATGCAGTTAGGTCAAATTACAAAAGAGTTTGAGTTAGGATTTGAAATAATAAGAGTTTATAAAGGATTTCAAATTACAAAAAATTAAGAGAGAACTTAGATTTGGATTTGGGTTAAATTTAAATCCATACATTTTTAATTATTCGAACAATGGATTTAGCTCAAATCCAAATCCGAATTCTTGTGTATCTAAACATAGTATTAGTGTATTCTCTTTTTCTTGTTTTTCATTTGTTTGGTTTATTTTAAAAAGTGACAAGCTTTATAGTTTTTAACTGGTATTGATCCCTTAGATTTTGATAAACTTATTTTCATTGACAATGTAACCACAATATTTCCCTCCCATAAATGAGGGTTTCTTAATAAAAGTTTAAGGTACTGTCCTTTTCTTTCCTTAAAATCAAAAAAGAAAGGAAGGGGGAAAAAAGAACTTTCCTGTTTCCCCTCCAACCATGGCTACTAGAGATATGCATTGTGACTCTTATGGTTTTGAGTAAAAGCACTCTCCTTTTGGCTTAGCTTAACTTTCAGGCATCCTTTCCTTACCATACATATGCATGGGTTGTGCTATAGGGAAGCCAAGGGGCAAATACACCCCTTAACTTTGAAAAAAAAATTACAAAAAAGGTCTACATATTTTAATATTTTACAACCTTTAGTCTAAATATTTTACACTCCTTAGTCCAACTTTAGATATTTTGGGTTCAAAAATTTTTAATTATTTTTAAATTATTAATTTTAAAAAAATTAATCTTTTAGTCCTTCAATTTTTAATATACTTGTAACTCAATCCTATAACTATAACTTATTGCGACTCAATCCCTTAATATTTTATTTATCTATGACTCAATATCTGAACTTTTGACTCGCCTATAATTCAATCCGCTAACTTTTGTTAGCCCCCTTTTTTCATGTTAGTTTAGATATCACATCAAAGAGTATAAGGTATTTTAGAATAAGATATGAGCATTTTTTTTATTCCTCTTATTTGATAAGGATAATTTTAAGAAAAATTAAAAATAAGGATCAAATTATAAGAGAGTCAATAGTTAAAGACTGAATCGTAGTTAGTTATAGTTGAGAGACTGTATTATAAGTGAGTTAAAAATTAAAAGACTAAAAGATTAACTTTTTTTAATTTTAAGAATGTTGCACCCCATAGTTTAAGGTCCTGACATTGCCATTGACAACACATGGAGTTCAATTTTGTTTGATATATAGGCAAACATTGCTAAATATATTAGACTTCACCTTTGCAAGGGGTTACAGTTAACAAAATTAGTTAAATCAGTTAATGAAATCAGCTAAACCAATTAGAAAAGAAATGCATGCACGAATGTGTATTGTTTGGATGAGATGATGCAGGGTAGGAATGAAAACAATTCCCGAACTATTGAGTGGATGTTGTTATGTCCTAGGAATTTTAATTGTAATTATTATATTGTGTTTTAAATATATTTTAGTAATTTTGGAGTAAATATAGCAAGAAATAAGAGCTGGCTTGGTGGAGATAGTGTAGCCATTTAATTAGGAGGTCTAAAGTTTGAAACTTAGGGAGCTCAAGAACAGAGATTTGATTGTTTTTGCTTCAGCTCTTTCTAAAATTACCATTTTACCCGTCTTTAAATCTGAAGATATGCCTTCCTCTCCTTCTTCGATTTTTCTAGAACCGTGTGTGAGTGAGAGAGCTTTGATTTTCTGCCCCATTGTACTTCATCTCTTCCCTTCCTTTTTTAGTAGTCACCGATGAAGGTGAAAGCTCGCCGTAGCTGTGCACGCCCAAAGCTCTGTTGTGCTTTCTATTGCTGTTCATCTCCTTCATTTTTTGTTCAGTCCTCGTCGTTCATGCATATGGTGTTGATGGGTGTGAGAATCAGGTCGTCGGCATTGTTAATGTGTGCTGTGGTCTTCCACTGCTAGAAGCTCAGAATCGTGAGCACGTAAGGAGTTGGTCTAAGAGTTTTGGAGGTTTGATTCATGAAAGGGAGGCTAGTGTGTGGCTGTCGTCTTCTCCCCTATTCTGTCGACCATTTCTTTCTCCTCTTCTGTTCATGTTTTTTTTTTTGCTATCCGTGTGGAGGTGAGTGCTCAGATCTTCTTCTTCCTTGCCTTTTGTCCTTGTTCATCTGTGGCTTGTGACTGGGGAGTTGAAAAAAATCTTCCTCCTCTGACTGTGTTGCAGCTTGTTTGCATTGAATCTCTTCTCCCTTATACAGCTCGTGACTTTTTCCCTTTCTTTTTGCATTGTTGATGTTCTGTGATGGCGAGAGATTTTTATTTCTTTCTTGTTGTAGCTGTGTGTGATTGGAGTAGTAGAAGGGAGTCTGATCATATTCAAGATTTAAGCTTAAGAATATGGTTTTTGCTAGCTAATTTCTCTTACTTACAATAGTTCTACCAAAAGAATAAATTGATTTAACTATCTTTGAACTTAAAATTGGTATTGAGGTATTGAGGAAGTTATTGGAAAAAAAAACTTGGATTATTAGTTTATGGTTTAATGCTTATGAGGTGTTTGATAAAATGCCTTAGGAGAGTTTTGCTTGGAATTATAATTATTAAAGTCTCATTAAATTCCTTGGAAGACATAATTGGCTGAGATAGTGTTATCCATGAATTTAGCTTAAAAATTTGGAAAAGGAGATACTTGAATAGGAATTTTTCTATAACTTTGTGGGATCTCACAAGAAACATGGGTTAGCTTGGGGTGTTGTTCATTTGTGAACTTGAATCAAATATTACAAAGAAATTTATTTATGTTATTGAGAGATGAAGTGAATTATTGAGGATTTTATAGTTATTAATTTCTAAAGTATACTGTTATGTGCTTATAACATTGTTCAAATTGTTTTTTTTTACAAGTTCTAGTAATCCTTTATTTGACAAGGACAATCATGAAAATTTGTGAAAGTGTTTGTAAGTTTTTACATTAAAAAGAATGAGTGTTTACATAATTCATGCGAGTCTGATATAGAGAAGAGAAAATTTTAATTCGATGATGATTATTTTTCTCGCATGTTTAGAAATTGATTTTTAAAGAGACTTTAGATAGAACATTGATTACTAATAGCAGTTCCGTTAACCTTTGGCGCGTCATGGTCAATTACTAGCTAGTTTGATTTTCATAAGCTCTGTTTTCACGTCTGTTATTTATGGGTATTGTACCTACATCTGTTTCGTGGCTATGACCATGTTTGGTTAATTATCCTTGTGGACTATGTGTCCACGTCTGTTTCATGGCTTTAGCTGCTTCTGGTTACTTATCCTCGTAGATTGTGTGTTCACATTTGTTAATTGTTCCCTATAAACATGAATTTGATTAGTTAATGATTTTATATTTTAATGACTTTAATTAGTAATCTATTTATAATTATTCAATTTGTTTATTTGCTTCTTTGAAATCAAGTGATAATATTTGATATGATGGTTTAATGATTTAAGATTTCATTTAAGGTTACATAGAGTCCTTTTATTCCAAATTTATTTGAATTTTCAGGATGATAATTGTGTTTTTAATTTTTTTTATGTTTAATTAATTAATTAATTATTTTTGGGACGTTATTTATTGGAAATAATTTTGGTCTCAGATAGTGTAGCTGATGCGGAACCACCAACTGGGCATTGAAGAGTTTTTGATTGACTAGAAGTGGAGAAGCCAATGATTTAACTTTATCTTGATGTAAAGTATTAATTATGAATTTTTATTTTTATTAACTTATTGTTAGGTACTCCACATAGTTTGTAATTAGGTTGTTTATGCTGTTATGTATTTTATCAGCTGGCCAAAAGGAACTCTACTCCTGATTGACTTGATGTTTTTAATAGAAATATTGTATTGTAGAATTTTCAGGAGATCTTATTTATAAAGAAAGTTCTGCCAAAATTTTTACAAAAACACTTAAACTTTTATTTCAAGTCTAATTATGTTTTATAAATAAATATTAAATATTAGATTAAGATTTCTTTTATCACGACTTAAGGGATGTATGATTATGTATACATCTCATGCTAGTCACGTTTAATTTCTGGGACATGACAGATGTATTATGGACTTTAATGAAGTATTGATATAATTTTATAAAAACATATCAATATTTATGAATGAAAGTAATACACATACTCCCTTTGTTAAAAATATAAGATATTTCAAACTAACCCTATCTTTTTATATTTACCTCTATCAAATACCCTACAATAAATATAAAGTCATTATCAATAGGGGTACTTTTGAAAAAAAAAGCAATGATTATATCTTAAAAGACTAAAAATGCCTTATATTTTTAAATATCTAACTCCGCAAAAAATGCCTTACATTTTTAACAGAGAAAGTGCATGGTATAGTCATCGTTCAAACTTTGGCAAATGTGCAGAAGCAAGAATATATTACAACGACACCCCTATTTTGATTTAATTCTAAAAAAAACAAAGTGCATTAAGTATCGCCAATTTATTATTATTTAAATGAACAAATTAGTCAATAAGTTCTTCTAATAAGACTAAATAAACTAAGAGTAAAATATGTAACATTCTCAATTGTTAACCGAATTAATTAAGTTCGATTACATTAATTAAATGTATTAGTGAAGTGTATGGCTAGATAGGCCTTGTGCATTAAATCTAGACCTAGCCGCAGCAACTAGGAATATAACCTTACTAACATAATTCTTGTTTTTACATGTTTGATGTGGTGGCTTTTCCCTATTGCCAAGTAGTAGGTATGTGATTTCTTTATCATGTAAAACCATTTTTCATCAATATGGATTATGTTGTACATATATTGAAAAGTTAGATCATTTGGTATACTTTCTTATTCTAGCATGGACAAACATCACCTCAATTTAGCAAGCATGTTTTACTCCTTTAAATATGGTTTGATTGCACTTGTGTGGCGCCATGGAACTCCTTTTTTTGAAGTCTGATCAGTGATGTCTTGTTAACTGCTAGCATACTTACAAGAGACCTTAAGTAGTTCTTTATTGTACAAGAATTGCCATGACTTGTTCCATGTTCATATTAGGTCCCTTTGTTCCACACCTGTTTGTCTTTCTATGAGTTGCATTCCCTATTTCCTTAACTTGATGCCAAATGCATTGAATTACTCTCATTGAAACTGAGTATGCTGAAGCTATCTCTCTTGTTGTGATACTGCTCAATTTACCTTGGCAGATTGAGTGTAACAAAATCTTACAAATAGCAACACATTCTTTATTTGATAAGAACCTTCTTTTACATGGTTGCTGCCTTGGTGATTCAATTATATTGCCTTCCATATTTGTCTCTGTTTCAAAAGTTTATTGATATTAGATTTCAAAAGTCTATTCAAATTTATGTTCACCCTACTTTCTATATAAAATATCAAATTATGTGTGCATAACTAAATATTTTGATTATTTGATTGCTGTGGTATTTGCTAGCGTTAGGTGCACTCCATATTGCTGTACATTACATAACTAAATATCAAATCATGGCTTGATCCAAGTTTATTTAAAGAATCTTTTGAACTGAATAAAAAATTATTAATTGGATTCTTTTGGAAGCTTTGAGACTGTGATGGTCACTTTGGTCTAAGATATTTCATGAATAATATTGTGCCATGTTATTGCATGTTGAATTTATTTAAAAAGCCATTTGGGATATTGTTCTTAACATTTATTTAATCTGTATCTTTTAGTTTCTAATCCAAGATGTTTGCTTTCTTATTGATTCAAGTTCAAGTTGGTAGTTCTCCCATATATAAGATTGAAAGGAGGTTGGGTAAGGGTGGTTTGAGGGATGTAGAGAAATTTTACATTGTGGATTATTTATGAAATACGCCTAGTCATGTTATATATTTTTTTTTATTAAGATTTAATTGTCAACATGGATGTTTTGTGTCAATGCTTCATAGTTTGCAAGTTAACACTTTGGAAAATTGACGATAGTGATAAAGCAAAGAGCCATGTGAAGGGAAACAGGCTAAGCACACTCTTTCCCTTGGCGGTGGCAAAGTTCTGCAAGGTCAGAAGTGCTCTATTCTGGGAGATAAGAGAGATGAGGAAACTAGCTAGGATGGGTTATGGATGGAGCAGGGTTTTGGGACTTGGACGTCTCTACTCCTAAAACCCTTGATGGTTTGGCTTCTCCAATTCTTGGAGACTCAATTCTGTTGGGTCTATCCAAAGGGACAAGGCTTTCAAGACCCAATCAAATGGATTTCATGCAATGCTTCATGCATGCACCTCTTATTCTGAGCTATGCTAAACCTCAAGGCTTATGTCTCCAACGTGTGCTCACCATCCCTTTTTCTGATCGCTGGTAACTCCCTTGTCCATGAACCCTATTCTCTACCAAAGTTTGAATGTGTAGATGTGGTTTTAAGTTTTATGGTGGATTCTTTATTCAAATAAAAGAAAATTGTGCATTGGCTAGTCACGTTCTATTGTTATGAAGATTTAATTGTCCACATTAATGTTGTGAGCCCATGCTTCATTTTGTAAATTTTTCTTTCCCCTTTTTTCTTGGTGAAAACCAAGTCAAAGGTTTGTCATTTGTCTAGAGACAAGTTCTCCTTTCTAAAGAAGATTATGTTATTTTTTCAGACATGCATGTTATGTCCTCATAGTATGTTTACAATCTAAATTAGCTAGTGGTATCAATTATTGTTTTCTTCATGTGCTCAATTGTGTAACTTGTCGGTGTTGTGAGTTAATCTGTGGTGTACATTTATTCTTCTATAGATTTTAGTCAATGTGCAAATTTACTGTCACTGGCTTTTTACAGTTGCTTATACATTGCTCTGGAAGGATAAGAAGCAAATTGGCACTGCATCGTTAGTTTTGTTTGCCGTATACTACTACAACTTCATTGCATTCGGGTCTACTATATTTTGGTTTTTTCTATATGGTACAAGTGATATATTTTTTTCTATCTTTCTACTATATTTAAAAAATTATGGGGATATGGTGCTTTAGGAAACCATTATTAGGAACTAAATAGAAATACTAGAGAGTTAAATTTTATATACGGATATTCTAAGTTTCATAAGGATAGATATCCTTGCCATTTTTTTCTTCATTGATTGCATGTTGCTTTTCTCCTTGATTATTGTTTAGGTAGACATTCTCACACATGGGAGGAGCATTTAAGTCCAAAAAATGTTGTTGATGTCCCCACTGTCTTCCTCAACTGGAGCATTTAAATTAAAAGACATGCAGCAATTTTTCATGGTGAAAGGCTGAAGCAATTGGTGGTCTCATGCATTTTTGTTTCTTTTGTTTTGTCTGCTTTTTCTCTCCTTTTTAGAAGGATGTATTTTCCCAAAAAATTTTCCCCCCAATTCATTTCGACCTTCCTGCCAGTAAGTGTAAGTAAAGTTGATAGACTTTTTTTTTTACTGTCACTAATCAACTTTTCTGTAAAGTATGAGAGAGAATTACTTGGGAAATAATATTATATTGCTTGGATCACTTTTTGGTTTTCTATCCGAGGATTAGTTTTAAAATTTCATTTGTAATTATTCTTTATACTGTTGTTATATTAGTATTGGTGAGATTGGTAAAAATGACTTACAAATAAGACTAGAGGGAGTAGATCTTTTTTTAAGCTGACAAGAAATGTGATGATTGCTTCATTAGGGATGATCTTTTGAGTGATTTAGTGAAATCTGTGAGGGGGGAGTTTTGTGCACAGCTAGAGGTTGATCAAGCACAAGATATGTCACCAAAGAGTCACTACTTTTCATATATAAGCAACAAAAATGAAAATCTTGAAACTTTAGAGATTTTTCAAATGCCACTAGTTACATAGTTGCCTCTTGTTCTCCTTCAATTTTGGCATAAATGGTTATATGGTATCCAGGCTATGTCATCTCAAGTACTTACGGGAATTATCATTGAGGGGATATGAAAATCTCAAAAACATGACCAATGGTATTAGCAATTTAAAGAACTTGCATTATTTGGATCTTTCTTGGACTTCAAATGAGAAATTACCAAATTCAATGTGCTTGTTGATTAATTTACAAACTTTGAAATTAATTCATTGCCGTTGCTTGACAAAGTTGCCATCAAATTTCTGCAAACTCATCAACTTGCGTCACTTTGAGTTGGTAGGTTCTAACATAGAAAAGATGCCAAATTATATAGGAAAATTAAAGCATCTCCGAACAATGAACAAATTTGTTGTGGCAGAGAAAGGAGGTTCAAAATTAAAAGAATTGGGTATCTTAGACCACTTAACAGGTTCACGAAGCATCTCAAATGTGGGGTGCATAGATGAAACTACAGAAGTAAGAGAGGCCAAATTGAAAGAAAAGCATTTAGATACATTAATGTTGCAGTATTGGCGCTGTCATGAAGTGGCACTACATCAAGAGTCTATAGTGGAAGCACTTGAGCCAAATCATGCTATAGAAGAGCTCACTGTTGATGGATACATAGGTGGCAAATTTCCAAATTGGGTTGGTGGTTCACATTTAGCCAATTTAGTGTCTTTATATTTGCTGAGGTGTGCCAAATTTGAGCAATTACCACTATTTGGGCAACTACCTTCCCTCCAGAAACTTGTCATTAAAGGATTTGATGGAATAAAGGTGATAGGTGAAGAATTTTACGGGAATGGCTCCTCCAGTGCCCCATTTTGTTGCCTTTCATATTTAAGTTCTGATGAGATGTTGGATGGGGAAGAATAGAATATAAGTCATCAAGATGAGAGTTTCTCTTGCCTTTAAGAGCTTTATATATGTGATTGTCCTAGACTGACAAAGTCTCTGCCTCAACACATTCCTTATTTAGAAACATTAGACATTGTGGCATGTGGAAATTTGGAGACTACACTTCCCAAGTCCTCTTCCATGAAAAGGCTATATTTAAATAATTGTAAGAACATTACAATAAAAGACACGCCCATATGGAGCTCCTCAGATGTGTTTCCACCTCTTCATTTCTTGTCTTTATCTTGCTGTCCAGGAATGGAATCTCTTCCCCAAGGAGGTATGCTTTCCAACTTAGCAGAATAGTAGCATCTAGGAGATGCATTCATTAGGGAGATGCGAATCCCCTACAGGCTACATCTAGGAGAGCAAAAGCATCTAGCAGAATAGCAGCATCCCTGCTTCAACCTTTTTCTTCCATTTTTCCATATTACAATTTTAATAGGGCGGGTCATGTTAAAAAGACAAGAGTGAATAACAATATAGGCCAAAAAAAAAAAATTAATACTTGTGAAATTATTAGATTTAGAAAAGGGTTAGAATAAGATAAACTCAATCAGTATTTTGGTCTGAATATGTCTCATATCATATCATGTTAATGAAAAGCTTTTATTAATTAAATATAGAGACATTATTAATTGGATCCGCATTTTTCATTTATATAACCCAGATATATAGGCACCCATGCGCGTATATTTTATTACAAGATAAAATATATCAAAATATTTCCTTGTTCAAGATAAAACATGAGCTGGCCCACAGAAAATTAACCCTATCTAACAAATTAGAGAAATTATTAAACATGCGTGACTCCAACTGTAGTAACTCGAATGGGCACTTCAAAAAAAAAAAAAAAACACTAATCACAGGAGTCACTTCACTTGGGTTAAAAGTAATAATATGCTAGAATCAAAATTATCCATCCTCGTCCATATGAGAATGAGAATGTGAAAACAAGAATATAGTAGCTGGCAGGTAGCAGCACGGAATTATGAAAAGTCTTTGTGGAAAAGAAATCAATATGCATCGCACAAACATTATCTCTGATTTCAATTTCGGATCAGTAATTCCCAACAACCAATCAACAAAGAAGCGACCCTTAAACCAACGAATCTCACTTTCTTCATCCATCTCTTCCCGGTTTTCGTCCTCCGTTGCTGCTCAATACTTGCTTGTGCTAAGTTTTACGTAGTTAAGCCATGGCTGAGTTGGTTTCCGGAGCACTTCTCACCGCTGCCATCGAGGCGGTTCTCAATAGATTGGCTTCTGGTGATATTCTTGACTTTCTCCGTGTCAGAAATCTCCAGGATAACTTCCCGCTGAAAAAACTAAAGACGACCTTTAACAGTCTCAACAAAGTCATGGAAGATGCTGAGGAGAGGCAATACGCAGACCCTAATGTGAAGAACTGGCTTGATGAGCTCAGAGGCGTTGTGTTCCAGGCTGAGGACCTGTTGCTTGAGATTGCAACAAAGGCCTCTCGACGGCAACTGAAACTTGAACTTCACCCCCACACAGGTAAACTACGCAACCGCTTAACTTCCAATGTGAAATCCTTTGAAAAAGATATCGAACAAAGGATCCGGAAACTTGTCGACTACCTAGAACTCTTAGCAAAACAGAGGGATGACCTAGGGTTGAAGGTTGGCTCTAGCGCACTCACTCAAGGGGGAGCGAATAGGAGAGTTTGCCAGAGATTGCCAGAATCGTCTTTGATAAATGAAGCTGATATATTTGGTAGAGATGCTGATAAAGAGAAACTAGTCAAGTTTTACTGTCGCGCAACAAGGGCAAGACTCAATCCCCAATGGACGTGATTGCCATTGCAAGTATGGGTGGAATGGGTAAGACCACTCTGGCGCGGCTTGTTTATGAAGACAAAAGGATGATAGATGGATTTCACTACAGAGCTTGGGCGTGTATTTCTAAAGAGTTTGATCTTGTTCACGCAACAAAAGCGATTCTTAAAGTACTTGATTGTTCAATTGAACTTGAAAAATCAGATGATTTAGATCCACATCAACGTAAACTACAGGAAATGTTAAAGGATAAGAAATTTTTTGTGGTTCTTGATGATGTATGGAACAAGAATCATGCCATTTGGGAGGCCTTTCGAACTCCTTTCAACTATGGAGCTCCAGGAAGTAAATTTCTCATAACAGCACGTGAACAAGGGGTGGCGAAAGTCATGCGGTGCACAGATATTCATTTTTTGGAGCCATTGCAAAATGAATATCCTTGGAAGTTATTTGCAAAACATGCATCTAGTGACCAATATGTTGATCCAGGACTTGAATCAATTGGTAGAAGAATCATTAACAAGCGTGGAGGATCGCCTTTGGCCATAAAAACATTGGGAAGCTTGTTGGGCACAAAACTAGCTCCTCAATATTGGGATGCAATTTTGAAGAGTGATATTTGGTCCTTATCAGAGGATGAGAGTAATATAATCCCATCTTTAAGGTTGAGCTACCATTATTTACCTTCTAATCTCAAGCGTTGCTTTGCATTTTGTTCCCTCTTTCCGAAAGATCACTTGATAGAAAAGGATGTTCTTATTCAACTATGGATGGCTGAAGGTTTGTTACATTCCCCTCACACAAGTAAAAGCTTTGAAGAAGTTGGCAATGAAATTTTCAATGACCTAGAATCTAGGTTATCAAAAAAGAATGGCAATTGCTTCGTGATGCATGATCTTTTGAATGATCTAGCGAAGTCTGTGATGGGGAAGTTTAGTGTGCAACTAGAGATTGATCGGGCACAAGAAATTTCAACTGAGGCTCGCTACTTTTCATGTATAGGCAAAGCAAATGAAAATTTTGAGAAAGTTTTCAAATGCCACCAATTACGTAGTTTTATCCTATTGCATGAAAATTCCATCTCCAAGTATGACATAATATATAGACTTTCTCATCTCAAGTACATACGGGAGTTATCTTTGGAGGGGTGTCAAACTTTCAAAAAGTTGGGGGATGATTTAGCAATTTGAAACACTTGCATTATCCAGATCTTTTTGAGACGTCAATTGAAAAATTGCCAAAATCAATGTGCTTGTTGGTTAATTTACAAACATTGAAATTAAGAGGTTGTCACATGACTGGGTTCCCATCACATTTCTACAAGCTCATCAACTTGCGTCATCTTGATTTGGATAGTTGTTATGACATAAAAAAGATGCCCAAGAATATGGAAAGTTGAATCGTCTCCAGACAGTAAATCATTTTTTCTCGGCAAAGAAAGGAGGGTCTGGTTTGAAAGAACTAGGTGCCTTGAACCATTTAATGGTTCTCTAACCATCTCTAATATGGAGATCATTAATGAACCCACAAGTTTGAGAGAGGCCATTTGAAAGAAAAGCATTTGGATAAATTAATTTTGAATTATAGACAGTATGATTACAGTCTTGAAGTAGTAGAATATCAAGAACACGTATTAGAAGGGTTTGAACCAAATAATACTTTAAAAGAGCTCGTTATTGAAGGTTACAGAGGTACCAAATTTCCAAACTGGCCGGGTGGTTCACACTTTTTACCCAATTTAGTTTCTTTATCTCTGTCGAATTGTACCAACTGTGTGAACTTACCGCCACTTGGGCAACTATCTTCCCTGGAGAAACTTGAGATTTATAGATTTGATGGAATAAAGGTGATAAGCGAAGAGTTTTATGGGAAAAATGGATCCTCTAACAACCCATTTCGTTGCCTTTCACATTTAACATTTCATGATATGATGGACTGGAAGGAATGGAAGATTTGTGAAGAAGATAAGAGTTTCCCATGCCTTCAAGAGCTTTGTATATGGGGTTGTCCAAGACTGACAAAGTCTCTACCTCCACACCTTCCATGGTTAAAAAAGTTATACATACTTGGGTGTGATAACTTGGAGACAACACTTCCCAAGTCCTCTTGCATGGAAGGTATATGGTTAAAGGGGTGTAGGAAGATTGTAGTAAAAGATGTGGCCACATGGAGGGAAGTAATACGGCGAGCAGGCATGCTTTGCACCCTACCACGTCTTGCATGCTTCATACACTTTGCGTCTTGGCGTTTGCATGTGTCTGATTATAAGTTGAAAGAAATTTCATTTAGTGATGGTGAGTTTGAAGATGGAGATCAGTCCTTCCCTGAGGAGGGCTTGCTGCCATCCAACGTCGAGTCTCTTTCATTCTCAGGTTGTGGCAACTCGAGAAGATTAAACTACAGGGCTCTTCTCCGCCTCAATTCTCTCACTTCCTTATCTTTTTGAGACTGTCCGAACATGAGTTTTGAAGACAGCAACTTCCCTCCATCCCTTTCTCATTTACCTATTGATAATTGTCCATTGCCCGAGGAGAAGTGTCAAAAAAGAGACAGGAAGAGACAGGACCAGATTGGCCAAAAATTGCTGTTATCCCTCATGTCACCATACGCAGAGCTTGACTCTCATTCTGCGCAAAGGTGCTTAATTCATCCACTTTATTACTACTCCCACATATGTATACAATATTAATGATTTTATAATTGATAATTTTGTTTTTGTTCTTCAGTTATTATTATTATTCATCAAATTAAGTTATATTATTGCATGCTCACTCAACATATCCCGTGGATTCTTCTTTGGGTAGACGTTATCCTAAAGCTACAATCTCAAGTTTCTTGGGAGCAGAACATCAATTATTAACACTGCTTATGTTGGAAAAGGTACGCACTTCTTCCTCTGTATTAATGCCACATGCTTAATAATTAGCAATTCCTTGTACTTTCTGTCTTTCCATTTCTTAAAAAAGTCATGTCTAAATATTTTATAATTTTTAAAATACCTTCTGCGTGTTTTTGTCCTCATTGAAGTATACCGATACAAAGTACTCGTATTTTGCTGAGACATTTCTTAGATGTTGTCACATGATTAAATCTGTAGTGATTTATGTTAATCAATTTACAGATATGAATAACAATTTATATTCTCTTGCTTTGTTTACATCATTAGATTCAGCTTTCATATTTGCCAAAAAAATCAGACCATATATCCCTTACTAATGTGGTGACCAAAATGAAAATAGGACAAGATTTAGGTACTTAATCTTATATACTCAATGTATACAACAAAATCAAAATAAATGAATTTTAATGTATTATTAATATTAATAACAAAAGTTTGTTATAAAATAAATGAGATATAAAGTACCTACAATGTCTTAGATTTAATAAAAACAAGTACTTTAAATATATAAGGGTAAGTATATACTCCCTTCATTAAAAAATATAAGATATTTTTTGAAGGGTTATACATGTTCAAAAATATAAAATATTTTTATATTTTAAGGTCTAATCATTATACTTTTTCTAAAAATACCCTTAATAAATAAATTAATTTACATTTATTTTGAAGTGAAACACTATATTAAATAAAGGTACATATGAAAAAAAATGATGTTAGCTTTAAGATAAGTAATTACTTTATAAAGATGAGACTCAGTTAAAAATGTCATTATTTTTAAAGGAGGGAGTAAGTTTTTCCTACCAAAATAGATATCCTTCAATACTTAATTTTTTTTTAACATATCCGACAATCAACTTTATTATCACTTGTTCAACACTTGGGCATTCATAATGGCAATTGCTTCTAGTTTGAACTTTGAATTTGTTGTCTTCCCATATTCATACTTTTAATTTTGACTTTTTTTTATATTATCTAAATTTTGTATACATAAGCATAGAGGGGTAGTTGTTCTTCTACATTTTCTAAATTTCTATCAAAAGAATTGGTGAACTTTAAAAGAAAAATAACGTGTTATACTTTGATTAGTAATTAAGTCTACGTACAAATAGATATATAAATAATTTTTTTACTGTATATTTTATGACCTGAGCTAAATAGATATATTCAGGCTATTTCATTGTTGCGGGTAAAAAGTAAAGGCTGAATTTTGTTTTTGCTTTTTTAGCTATTATCATTCGTCCAAATTATTGCAAAATTATTAAGATCTTCTAATGTTTTGTGTTTTTGGTACAGCAATATTCCTGAAGCTCCAATCTGCAGTTTCTTAGAGCAGCATATGAACACTGATTGTCATGCTTGAAAAGGTCGTATTTCCTCTGTATTAATCCTATATGCTTAGAAATTCTCTGAACTTCCCCATTTTCTAACAAAAAGTCCGATCAATTTTTCCCCTGAAAATAGATCAAAGGCTCAAAGAAGGAAATTTCTCAGATGAATGAATGGATGGATGGATGGATGAATTACAAGTGTAGGGTGAAATAAATCACAGAATAAATTAGGTGAGGAAGCATACTCCTTTTATATCATGTCTTCGCCTAAAATCTCTCACCTTATTACTCATTAAAATTTCAAAACATGTGAGCAACTTAATTCACTAGAGTTACTAAAATGGGACAGTGGGTTATGCCTTGATATATTTTTCAGTGCATATGTAAAAATTTAGTGAAGGAAACTTCAGGTAACAGATATGATTGGCAGAAGCAATTAAGGAAATAGAATGCAATTCCAAGCTTCTAATAATACTATGGGAGTTGTGAGACTACTTGGGTGAATTGGAGAAACTGTTATTGAAGACAGGCTTCACAATTACAACCCCATTTATAGATAATAGTTGTAGAATGTTAAAGTATAGGAGTGTTTTTTTAATTAAGCGCTATAGGTTAATATTCTAAAAAATATATTTTAATAAGCTCTATTAAATGTTTTCTTGGATATATTTTGAAGCCCTTTTCACGAAAATGCTTTGAAATGGGTGCTCATATTTGCATTTTTTGTAGTAGCGAGTCTCTCTCTCTCTTTGTTTGTGCTTATTTGTATTTTAATTTTACTTTCATATATTCTCTTTCTCCTTCTTCGTACATTTCATTGACATCTTTTTTATGTATTTTTTCTAAAAAGTAATAGGCTTTGTAGTTTTTAACTGGTATTGATTTCTTTGACTCTGATGTAGTTATTTTTATTGATTATGTAGCCATGGTATTCCTTCACCATAAGTGAGGGTTTGTTAATAAAATTTGTAGGTGCCCTCCTCTTTTTCTTAAAAAAAGAAAAAAGAAAGGAAAAAAAAAGAAAGAACTTCTCTGTATCATCCAACCATTGCTGCCAGAAATGTTTATATGTGACTCCTGTGGCACTGAAGTAGAAGCACTTTCTTTTAGCTTGGCTTGATTTAACTTTCATGGGACCTTACCACAAATGGACTTCAATTTTGTTCGATATATAAGCAAACATTACTAAATACAGTTGATTTCATCTTTGCAAGGGGTAAGAGTTAACGAAATCAGTTAAATCAGTTAATCTGATGAGAAAAATAATGCACATGAATGTGTCATCTTTAGAAGAGATGATGCAGGACAAGAATGGAAACAACTCTTGAACCTGTTGAGTGGATGTAAAGTTTAGTGAACTACTGGTAGGATTGGACGTTGATTTTTGAGCATTTCAATTCAGGGAAAAAGAATACTGAACTATTGAAAGTGATAATATGTTTGATAAGTTTAGTCAATTCATCAAAAGATCTTTCATCCGCATTTCTTGATTTTTTTAAAACAATTTAATTCAATTTTTTTATTCTAGTTCTTCCTTATAAAATCGTTGAATTATTGAAACGCGTGAATATATATCTAATATCTATGTAGACATATTGTGTATAAAATATTAATAGACAAATGTGAACTTTACGAATACAAAATTTCAGGATCGTGCTAGCAGACCATCAACAATATTCAAGAATGATCCTTCTAACCATTCTTCGTAACATATAATATATCATGGAAATTATCGAGATTGGATTTAGCCAAAAAAAAAAAAAACTAATCCCTCACAACTTAATGACCCAATGTTTGAATATTTATTGTGAGAAATGCTCACATTTAATGTCTGATTATGTATTGTCTTTAATAAGAGGATACTTATACATAATCAAAATAATATATCATAGAAAAATGATTTTATAGAACATATCAATATTTATAAAAAATGACACATTCAACCTTTGACATGGGTGCAGAA